CCCCCATGATTGCATGAGGCTTTCAGGGGGACATCCAGACACAAACCATAATAAGCTGGGATAGAAGAGACTGCTTCCCCTGTGAGACAAAAGTTTTCTCAGCTCCCAACTTCAGTTCCATTGAATTGAAGTAGTTTTTATTTTATTTATTTTAGTTTATTTTATTATATTTTATTTTTGTCACTGAGTGGCTGATATATTCCTATCATCTCAAATAATGCTCACTATTCTTCACCCCTACCACCCAATTACCCCCATTTCTACCTTTATGTTTGAACTAGTCTGGGCTGGTTTATTTTCCTTATACCTGGGAGACCTTTGACTCAAATGAACTTTATATTTATAAATCAGCATAAGTGAATCTAACACAGAGAACATGGTATTGGCCATAAAAAAAAACTTGTAGCAGTTTTAAGTGTGTGTGTGTATGTGTGTGTATGTGTGTGTGTGTGTGTGTGTATGTTGAGACAGGTTTGCTATGTTTCCTAGGCTGAACTGTAATTCATGAGTCTTCTGCCCTAACTTCTTGAGAACTTAGGTATAGGCATACCCTATATTGGTGAACAATGGTCATTTAAAAATATACATTTAGTCAGAGAATGAATTATCACTAAACTGTACCAGTCTGGTAAATAAAGCTAACTGCCCTCTGACAGTTTGTTTTCATTTGATACTCCTGACAGTCATAAGGTGGCACTATTAACATTCCTGTTTCACAGGTGAGGAAATTTAGGTGTTCAGGTCAAGTGATGTGTCCATAAGCCTTTCACTGAGTTTGTGAGTGTGTTGCTCCACTTTAAGATTCCTGCTCTCCTGCCTCATGTTGAAGTTTTATTACAGCACTGGATAAACTGCAGAAGCCAGAAGTGAAGTGGTTGGTTCTGGAATATTAGCTATTACTTATACAATTCTCTGTTACTTAACTTTTATTTATCTTCAGTTCAACTCTGATTATTATGTTGTTTGACTTACATTGACCATACATCATTAATAATCCCTTCAAAATGGAAAGTAAAAAGATTCTGCTATCATGATCTGGCCTGAAGGAGGCAAATGTTAAGGCTTCTGAAATAATCACATCTTTCTGGATTGGGAACATTTGTTAATGTGAGAAATGTAGTGTTCAAATAGGAACAGTTTGGTCTTTTCAGTGAGACAGACTGGGATTAAATGCAAGCTGTGCCATTTGACAATACTAAGACTCTCTGAATATCAGTTTTCTCGGTCATTTAATAGGAGTGAAAATGCCCATCTCTTGGGCTTAGTACTAGGATTAAGCAAAATGCATGACATCTGGTACATATAATATAATTTCAGCAAAAGAAACTCAATATTATTTTTATATTCAAAGCCAATGAAAAGATTGGCTAGGAAAACCTTCACATGTACCAATACCAAAATTTTGCCATCAGATTATTTTTTAAAATCTCATTTTTAAATGAGGAAATGTGGCTTAACAAGGTCCAGATATGGGTTAGTGGAAAATTGCTTCATTGAGAGAGCAAAGGAGATCTTTATAAATGTTGGTGAGTGTGTTAATTTTCATTTGCTACTGCAAGCAAATTATCCCAAACCTATGTGCTTAAAACCACACACAAAGCAGGTGTGATGGCACATGCCTATAATCCCAGCACTTGGGGGGGGGTGAGACAGGAGGATTGCTGTGAGTTTGAGGCCAGCCTGAACTACATAGCAAGATCCTGGCTCAAAAAACCAAAACCAAACCAAACCAAACCAAACCAAACCAAACCAAACCAAACAACAAAAATAACCCCCACATATTTGTGCTCTTAGAGTTCTACTGGTCAGAATTCTCACATGAGTCTCTTTAAGGATCAAATCAAGGGGTCAGTAAAGGTTTCTTTCTGAAGCAGGGAGGGGAGAGTGTGTTTATTGGTTCCTTCAGGTGGTTGGCAGACTCCACTTCCTTTAGGTCATAGGATAAAGGTCCTCAGCAGGAGACCGTGTTCTACTCCTGGAAGCCACCCTCATTCCTTGGCTTATGAGTTAAGTCCTTCTCGAGCTGCCATCTTCTCCCAGCTCTTGTAGGATCTTTCTGACCTACTTTTCTGTTATATTCTTCTACCTATAAGGACACATGTGGTTATACTGGGTCCACCTGAACAATCTGGAGAAATCTTTAGCTTTCAAGATTAATCACCTTAATTACATCTGTAAAGTTTCTTTTTGTTTAAATAATGTATTCATCAGTTCCATGGATTAGGGATGGCACCTTTGAAAGAATGGGTTGCTCTATCTACCAAATAAGAATAGCGTATGAATGTGTCTCCCAAACATGGAGTTGGTGCAGATGATTTACACTGTGTTCTAATTTGCAAAATAAGCAAGTTGTTGTTAAAAATACTTATTTAGATGGACAGATAGATGGACAGCACATGATTGTGCAGTTTGGCTTCTGTCTACCCTGATTACCTCTCTCTCTCCTCACTTTTCTGATGAGCTGCTCTCACAGTTCCCAGAGGGAGCTTTACTCTTCTAAGAGAATGAATACACAAATGATGACCAGGCAACATATGCGAAGACTGACCCACATAAAAAGCCAGACAGCCAAACCACAGCATCTGTAGCGGTCAGCCCCCTCCTAACTAGCACTTGGTCAACAACTGGAGCTCCTATAATTTTTTGTCTCACTTGCTGCTGTCTTACTTCCAACTCAGGACCAACCAGAGAAAGCCAAAGGCAGTATGTGCCCAAACCAGTGATGTAGGATGATTCACTTCTAGCTGGCCATTTTCCAGCTGCTCTGTGCTAACAATCTCCAGTTAGAGCACGCCTGACCTGAAGCCCACCCCCATTTTTCCTTATATAGCTTTTCTTCTTTCACTGCTGTTGAATATCTGCCAAATGCAGTTGGTAGTGGCTGACTTTCCTGCTATAGTAAACCAAATAAATAGGCAACATGTTGTGCTCATATGGGTTTTTTTATTTTTACATGTTCTTTGGTCTTCCGCACATTCCTGTCCCCTTTTGATCTCATTGAATAACTCCTTTCTTCTTGGATTATATGGGTAATTTATATTCATCTTTTAAGCATCATTTTTGATGTTACTAATAATAACAATAACAATAATAATTATTACTAAAATGATAGCTGACCTCTGCGAAGATCTTACCATATGCTAAGAATGGTTGTAAATATGTTCAATTTATCAACTCATTAAACTCTCATAATTTATTGATGTAGGCGTCTGTTAATTATCCACATTTTTCAGAGTGGAAAGATTATTCAGAAAGATAAGTAACTTGCTGAAGGTGAAGAAGCTGGGACAAAAATTAAGTATCCTGATGCTGTAGTTACCTTTGGAAACCACTGTTAGTATTGCTTTCAAATACCCTGAGATTATGGTTGGTTAAATAGTTCTCTGTACTTTGTCTTTATATTGGACCATTGTAATGGTCTGTGTTTGGATGTCCCCTCAAAGCCTCATGCAGTCATGGGGCAGGCTTCTAGAGTTGATGATTGATTCATGGTCCAAGGTTGGGATTATGGTTATGAGTGCTACACCACTCTGGAGTGGGTAGTTTGCATACAATGTAAGGGAGGGAAAGAGGCTGCTTGCCTCCACTCCTCCCCTTTGCTCTTGCTGCTTTTGCTGTCTTCCGTTGCCATGAACTGTTTCCCTCTGCCCTGTGCCACTCTGCCTTGGAGCCAGCTGAGTATGGACTGAAACCTCCAAAACTGTGAGCTAAATAAACCTTTTTTTTCTTAAGTTTGGGTGTCTGATATTTTGTCTCAGCAATAAGAGAAAAGTGACCAAAACAACCATGTTGTACTTGTCTATAAATTTGCCTGTAGTTCCTCCTGCTTTGCAATTTTACATATGACTTTATAATGTCCATCCAAGAAACCACTTCTTTAGAAAGAACAGCTTCTCTCTTTCATGCTTCAGTTTCCTTCACATTCTTAAACATGAAATTATGTACAGTACTACCATCATCATCATCTCCTGAGAAAGCCCCTTCCAATATAAGAGTCATCCCGAGGCTGCACCTACTGTCTTCTTGGCTTTTTTCCTGAGGCAGAGTGTCTTTCAACATAATAACACTGTTCTTGATTTTGCAGTAGTTCTGTAGGCACTCTTTCCCACATGTAGCCCTGGAGACCCTGGAGAAATGAGTTGAGTGAGTGCCAGGGGTGGTTATGGATTTACACGGACTATATCAGAACTTTAGAGCACACTCCCTAGCAGGTACTCAAAATGTCTCAAGCCTCTGGCTACATTTGCTTGGAATGCCTATCCTGGGACAGATGCTGAGCTCTTGTTTCTGTCCAGCAGGTCTTCTTTCTTAGACTTGTGAGACTAATAGATCTAGAAAAGTATTAAGGTAGTCATCTAATCAATTCTTTTACTTTAGGTTTAATACAGTTGAATTTCATTCATTCATTCATTTATTCACTCACTCAAAGAAATCTTTATTATATACTAAATTTCAACAGTGTTCCAAGATTTGGGAATCTCAAGGCAAACTGGATAGCTAAGACTCTTTCTCTCCTGGGACTTGTATTCCAGTAGGATAAAGAAACAAAAATCACCACCCAAGCAGCTAAATAAAACAATTCTGATAAGTGGGAATATAGTTCAACATTTGGTGATAGCAACTTGTACAAATGTATGTTTCTAAATAAGTATCCTTGATCAGCCAGTCAGGGAATCTTTTCTTCTTTTTTTTTTGAGAAAGGATCTTGCTATTACTATTTAGCTCAGGGTTTCACTATGCAGTTCATGCTGGCCTTGAACTCACCACTTAGACAAGGTTGGGTTTGAACTTGAGGTGAGTGTCCTGCCTCAGCCTCCTGATCTCTAGGATTACAAGTAAATGCCACCATGCCTGTAGTCAGGGAATTCTTGACATTTCCTTTCTTTCTGTTGATTATATTGAAGAAATAAATAAATCTTATTTTGTATAAAAATTATCCTGTTCAAAGTATTCCCAACATACTGAAAATAACTTTTTTTCTTGTATATTTTCTCTCTTAGGAATTGACTATTACAACAAGATCATTGATGATTTATTAATGAATGGGGTTACACCTGTGGTGACACTCCACCACTTCGATTTGCCTCAGGCTTTGGAAGACAAAGGTGGATGGTTGTCAGATACAATCATTGAAGTCTTTGACAAATATGCTCAGTTTTGTTTCAGTACCTTTGGGGACAGAGTCCGGCAGTGGATCACCATAAATGAGCCCAATGTTCTTTGTGCAATGGGATACGATTTGGGTCACCTTGCTCCTGGTGTTCCTCACATTGGGACTGGCGGTTATCAGGCAGCTCATAATATGATTAAGGCTCATGCCAGAGCCTGGCACAGTTATGATTCTTTATTCCGGGAAGAGCAGAAGGGTATGGTGTCCCTATCGCTTTTTTGTATCTGGCCGGAACCGGCAAACCCCAACTCAGAGTTGGACCAGAAAGCTGCTGAAAGAGCCATCAACTTCCAATTTGATTTCTTTGCTAAACCTATATTCATTGATGGCGATTACCCTGCACTTGTCAAGTCCCAGATTGCCTCCATGAGTGCAAAGCAAGGCTATCCATCATCAAGGCTTTCTGAATTCACAGAAGAAGAGAAGAAAATGATCAAAGGCACTGCTGATTTCTTTGCTGTGCAATATTACACAACTCGCTTCATCAGGCACAAGGAGAATAAGGAAGCAGAACTTGGCATTCTTCAGGATGCAGAGATTGAAGCTTTCCCAGACCCTTCGTGGAAAGGTGTGGGGTGGGTCTACACCGTGCCATGGGGAATACGTAAGCTGCTGAAATATATTAAGGTAACTGCATGGTGTGTGTGTGCTTGTGTGAAGGGCATAGAACAGGCAAGTGTAATTACACATATGGAACTGGAAGAGGGTGATTTTAGGCACTACCATATCCAGTTTGTGGCTGAAGAAGAGTAGATTAGCATTTGAGTTGGTGAGGGTTAACTGGCTGGTTATTTGCTTCAAAGACAGTGTTCAAAGTTAGAACTTGCTGTTAAAGTCAGTTGTAGCAATGAGAGTAGCTTGGATATACTTGTCAGGCTGGTGTCATAGCTGTGATTATTATAAGGTATTTTAAGAAAAGTGGTAGCTGGATCCTTTCTGGGTCCCTGCTATGCTACATGGCACCCAGGTAGCTGAAATTAAAATTTCAAGTTAAGCAGCTTCAGGACCCTTCCTATGGAGGGTTGAGATTGTAGCTGTCAGTGAGACCAAGGGGTTAAGGAATAGTGACAATGAGCAGATGCTGATGAGAAGAAAGATATTTCTGTCTTCTCATTATAATAAGAGTCATTTGACTGTCTTCATGGACATTTGCACAGTTTTGCTTTTCCATTGTTAGTCATAAAAGGTCAGCGCGTGGAAAATTAAGTTAATAGGGTCAGTGCAATTTGATGAAAACTAGTTTTGGGGTTGTAGCTTCAAGAAGATAGAGGGTAATGCACCTGATTTTATGAGCTTTTTTAAAAACATCTGTTTGGAATAAAACTTCTGCTGTCTTGTTCTAGGACGCGTATAATAACCCTGTAATTTACATCACTGAGAATGGGTTTCCCCAGTCTGACCCCCCAGCTATTGATGACACTGAGCGCTGGGAATGTTTCAGACAGACATTTCAGGAACTGTTCAAAGGTACCATTTGAAATGATGAAAGATCAATTGTGCAAACTTAATATAATTTTCCCATGTGCTTATTTGCATTCTGCAAAGACCAATGATTTTGAAAGTTGAAATTCATGTAAATCAGTGTAAAGCAATATAATTAGAAGAGGGGGGAGAAAACTATTTAGGAAAGAGAAAGGTGAAGATTTTGGCCTAGCTTCAACCCCCTGAAATCGAATCACATACAAAGCAGCTGTCTTCAGAATTTTGTGCCCTCTGGGTAAAAGGAACAAAAATAGAAGGAAAGAAAATCAGTTATTGCAAAAAGTTAGCACTGATCAACTGTACTGTGCCTATGTGCATATTGTCATATCCTAACTACTAAGGAATGAATTGACAGAATTTTTCAGGGACCCAAATTCAGCATTTATACAGTGAAGTTCAACATGGCACAATCCTTCATCAATGTATGTTCTATTTAGTTTGGAAGAACCAGCCCTGCTAGAAACAGCTTTGTGTCATACAGAATATGTGAACTGTGTTACAATATTGTCATTCTTTCTTTGCTTCTCTCCATTCTTTTCATATTTGAAAAGAAATAAAAGGGATAATATTTAATTAATGACAAACATTTCCAGACCAGTTAGCCTCCCACCACATCCTTTTAGATTCCTTTTTGGAATATTGCTGTGTGGGACATTGTTGCTTCCTAAATCTTCTTTTTTCTCTCTATAGGGGGTCATATCAAAGCAGCAAGGTTCAGGGCAAGATGAGACTTTTAATTTCATAATTTTGTCATGATGCCATACTCACCTCTTATTATTGTATTGGAAAGGTCTGGGAGTTATTCTTTTTTTTTTTTTTTTTTTTTTTTTTTTTTTTTGAGACAGGGTCTCCCTGTGCAGTTCAGACCAGCTGTGAGCTCACTTTGTAGCCCAGGTTGGTCTCAAACTCGCAATGAACCTTCTGCCTCAGCCTCCTGAATGCTGGGATTACAGGGGTGCACCACCACACCCAGCTAGTCTGGGAGTCATTCTTTCCAAAAATATTTCATATTATTTTGGAATCAATCAGAAGGAGCTTTGGAAAGCAATGCCAAGTGGTCTCTTTTTATAACCTGAAATATACTGATTGGAACCCTCACTCAGGTCTGGTGTTTATTGGCAGGGGGCAATTGAATTCCTACAATTTGGCCCCAGCAAAAGAATTCTTTTGCATTATGTACAAAGTTAATTCTTTTGGGTGGCATTAACCTTCTGATAAGAAAGCCTGCAGTCTTCTGAGATTCCTTCCCATTTCTCCCTGTAGCCAGGTCCTCTTTGCAGTGAACATATTGATGTTTGTAGATTTCATGCTAAAGGACAGGTAGATTTATCAGGCAAGTTTCTGGATGGATACAGGAAGCACAGATGACTTATCTAGAGTTGTATATGTACATTTTGGAAAAGGAAGAAAAACAGAAATTGGGCTTTTTAATTTCCCATTTGGTGATTTGTTTAGTGCTAATCATATGAGGACATTTTATTATGCTTTGAAACTGTTTGAATTACTTTATGCAATCCCTTAGATTTTTAATGCTAAAAATTCAGTGATGAACCCATAAATGAACTGATTGAAATATAAAGGCTGGGTGTGGTGTCATGCTCCTCTAATCCTAGCACTCTGGGAAGCTGAAGCAGGAGGATTATAGTTTGAGCCTAGTCTGGGCAACTCAATGTCTTAGTGAGATTCTGTCTCCAACTTTAAAAAGAAAGAAATAAAATGGCTGGGGATACAGCTCAATTCCCAGTATGGCCAAAAACCCAAAACCAAAAACCAAACAAGCAAGCTGAAAATGTGAGAACAGTTGGGTTTCTAAGGGACAGGAGAGAGAATCGGGCTAACAAACAAAATCTTCCTTGTCAAATATATTCTATTGCGTGTTTTATTTGAAGGAAAAGTACAGAGTATGCCCAAATTATGGTGGTTTGACTTATTATTTGTCAATTTCGTGATAGAGATCGTGTTTGTTAGAGACTCAACCTAGAATTCTGACTTTTGATCTTTCCCTGAGCTAGTGCTTTTCAGTTCCACACTCTCACTGCTGGGCAGCAACAGACAGCCACCGTTCCCTCAGCCCTGTGATCACTGAGGGTGATGAGAGACACCACAGTGTACTATTTGCCAAGCTATGACACGCAGTAGATTAAGTGTACTCGGTGCATTTTTGACTTTCTGATGGGTGTGTTGGGAATCTAACTCATCATAAGTCAAGAAGCAACTTGATTATGCCTTTAAAACATCTGTTATTCTTAGCATTTATGGTGTCTTCTGAATCTTAACAATAGTTTATCTGTATTGATTGTAGCTAATAGATAATACTATTTTTGTTTAGCTTTTTAAAAAACATATATATGGTATTTAAAAATGGAAAGAAATCTACACATTGCCAAGAAACTGTACACAAGTACATTTATTCTGGACAAGATATAGTGACAGAGTTTTTCATGCATTCTTGTAGTAGGCACCAATGATTCCTTCTGTGGTAAAATTCTTTTTCCTTGTAGCAAACCCCGTCTCTTCTATAATCTACCCACTTCTTCTTATCCATATGTACAACACAGGGTCAGTTTGGCAAGTGCGATAAAACACGGCACCTGTCAAGTGAAAGTTGATTGGCCTATGTGTAGTCATGTGACATGAGCTGAGCCAATCCAAGCTCTTTCCTGGGATTTTGAATTTGGACTAATCAATTTGTCTCTTAGATTTCGGGGGTGAGGTGCAAGTTTAGGAACATTAGTGGCTTTGTTCTGCCGTATAAACTTAGGTGCAGTAAGAAGAAAAGATACCAATGCTTTAAGGAAAGTGGAGACAAAAATAAGAAACAAAAATTCCCTGACAGTGCTCGAACCTCAAATGCCAGTTTTTCCCCCAAATTCAGCTGCATACATGTTCTTATTTCATCCTTAAAAGGGTGATATGAACATTTTCCTCCTGCTTTACAAAAGAGGAAACTGACTTTCAAAGATCCTAACTCATTTGCTCAAATCACAAAGTTACTAATTAATACTTTCTGGAATAGGAGAGAATGTGTACATTTTTGATATTATTGTTTTGGTGTTAGGTAGGATCTGTGAGTTGAGGGCTTTCTGAATCAAAGAGCCTTTTGTCCTCCCTTTCTTTATATTTGGTACCTTGGCCTCCATATATCCTTTGGGAGTGGTTTTGCTGTCTCTAAAATAACCAGTCGTTTCTATGACCTTGGACAAATCTTGGGTACCCCATGTATTACTTCTCATCAGAAGAGCTGAGCTGAACTGACTAATCGATTTTCTGAGACTCCTTTGAGGTAGTGCTGATGATCTTCGTAGGTAAGAACTTTCCTAGTAGGAAGCATCCTGTGAGCGATTAAAACTAATCACAGGCCACTGAAGACATTTGCGGGAAGCACGGCAGGTGAGGGCCCACCAAAACCCAGGGTGTCAGATGGATGATGGCTTTGTGATTCCCAGGAACAAAGCCTTCCCTCCAACATCACGCATATGGACAGGCACATAATGACACTACAGTTGGATCAATGGTGTCTGCCTGGCAGGCTAGCGGATCTCTTTAGGTAAAATCCCACAGCTATTAATTGAGCAATAAAAAAGTAAGCTAATAGCTAATGTTTCTGTTTCCTTTAGGGAAAGGAGAGGATGAGGGAGAGGGAGAAAGATGAGAAGGAGAGAGAGAAGAGAGATGGAAAGGAGTTGCTTTTTTAAGGCAAAAGAGAAATCAGCTAGTACCTCTTCATCATGGTTTTATTTGACTGTGTTTAAACATTTGAAAATAGACCACATTTCAATTAATGCAGATATCAGAAAGGCAACACTGAAACCTTGAACTAACATAAGCCAGGTTTGTATTCCAGCTCTGCAAGTTTCCCAACAGAATATTTCCCCATATCTGCTTGGTTTTCTCTCAGTTTTTGGGAAGAAGTTCTGGGTGCATGCCATAAAATTGATCCTTTGACTATTTCAGGTCTGGATGTTAGGGAGGAGAAGGCAACAACTGCACTCCTTATTTCTGAGAGATTACTAGAACTGGTAAAAAATCAAGGTGTTGACAGCAAAAACATGTCGTGTATCTGGGAATTGCTTTGTCACAGAATTTTTGTATGTTTGGGATTAAGTTACCTTCAAATAACATCATATGAATCTTTATAAAGTATGATAAAAATATGCTGAAATTAAAAATAACTATAACAGTAAAAGACACCTTGACATTAACCCCCTCAAAATGCTTCCCCTTGCTTTAAACACACCTAGTCTATCATTCTTGCCACTTTCTGAAGCAGTTTTAAGTTCTCTTCAGTGAGTGTCTGTAGTTGTGACTGCCTCAATACCCTGAATGGATTCAATCCACATTTACCTTTCCTAGCCATTTCAACTTTAGGAATAAGCCAGAATTCTGACAATGCCAGATCCAGTGAATAAGGTGGATGGGGACACACCATAATTTTTAATATAGCAGATATTTCTGTCAGGGCTGGGGATTTAGCTCAGTGGCACAGCATCTGCCTGGCAAGCACAAGGTAGTGAGTTCGATTTCCGGTACCAGAAAAAAAAAAAAGAAAAAAGAAATTGCTATAAATATTTCACATTGAATCAGGATGGCCACACAAAGACACTCATGAAAGAGGACTTCCAGAAGTGTTTCAGAAAGTGACAAAAATAATAGGATAAGTGTTTGAAGTGAAAGGGAGTATCTTGAGGGAGATTAATGGCAATAATGATTTTAAATTTTTAATTAAACATACATCTTATTTTCTGATCATACTTTGTATTCATAAAATTAACACTAGTGTTCACTAGGCCAGGGCTGGGGGCAGGTTTGACTTCATAGATAAACATATGGGAGAGGATACTGCTTTAAACTCCATGTTGTTGTGTGGTGGGGAAGTGTGTGAAGCCAGGGCAGGCTGCTCCAAGGCTAACACACTACCTACTATCTAAATTCTCCGGTGTTCATCCTGCTGCTCACACACACCCAGTATTTGTTAACCTCAAGTT